GGCTGGGATTAGGCCCAGTTCTAGGTGTTTTGGGGTAGTTAAAGGTTTTAGAAAACCAGGAAACCCGCTCTTACCACCCTCGAAAATATTAGACTGTCCTGTGACGTCATCCTGGCGGGGGGGGGGGGGGGGGTATTGGGAAAGTACCCACTTAGCTTCCGGATCAAGATTACCGGAGGTGGACGAAAACTAATAATTTGCCTTTTGAGTTTACAGGTGGTGAAAGCGAAGAAGAAGAAGAAGAAAATACACATGTAGCAGAAACAAATGTCAGTACCCGGAACAGAAGGCTGTTAAGCTGCATAACTACAAACGTCTTTAAGTTGAAATTATAAAAAAGAAGCATATCGCCTTCGTGTTTCACATGACTGCAGGTTAAGCCTGGCTATTGTAGTCGTTACGGGAGCTTTGATTATAACTCCTTTATAGGTTCGGTGCTGGCTGCGTGGTATCGATGCATGGTGTCCGTCTCGAGGGCTAGAGGTTTCGGGTTTAATCCCCGGTAAGGGCTGGGTTTTTTTCACGTGGACTTGGACTTCTAGTAATTCCCCCTGGTCTCCGGGTAGTGAGATCGGACATCCGTGTGCATTGCTGCGCACGTAAAAAAAATATCCTTTTGTCAGCTGGAAATCGAAAAGAGTAGCCTAACGGCGCTGCCGGGGCACAATTTGGAGGTAAAATTCTACCAGAAATATTTCAGGGTCCTCGCTGGTGCTACAGAGCCTGTGCACAATGCTGAGCTTCTTCGTACGCACACTTGAGTTAGAAGAAGAACGGAGCACTTATGGGTTACTACCCGAGTGCCATGATATTGATCAAAACCTGAAACTTTTAAAGGTTCAGCGGGGTAGCGGGTATCAGCCATGTTAGTCTGCCATCTACACTGACAATTTGTAGTCTCAGAATGGTAATGTTAACCTATAGCTAGCATCTTAGAGGGGACATATCGATTCTTTGTTTGTCTCGTCTGCAGCTCCCCTGTCAATCTTATGTCCCTTGTCTGCAACACTTGCTTCTGATGTCCACTGTTAATTTAAAGATAGTTTTTATGGCACTACAGACATGACAGTAAGTACTCCAATCTTCTCTTGAGTATGTCTTTAAGTGTTTTTAGGCTAACAACTCCTATTTTGTTCTGGCTGATGCAAAGACGGGTGGCTCCTGCGTGTATGTCTTGTCTCGTTGGTCCAATAAGCACACCCAGGGTATACAGTCTATTCAGTGAAAAATCATTTTCAACGAAACTGAAAACCTCAGGCTGTTTAGTCTCTCGTGTGGCATTGACGATGTACAACAATACTTTCTGTTACTTGATTAATTTAACGGCCTCAAATGGTTCGCCCCTCTGTTTTTTTTATAGGAATGACGTATACACACCGGAACCTACCAATCAAATACCTTTCTTAAATGTTTGTGTGTTCGAGACAAGGCAATAAGGTCTACTGTGTTCGTAAATTGTTGCTGTGATTGTTATTCGACATTTGCTTCGTTAATATAAATTTCTGTAACCTATGGTGCCATTTCAATGGGTTGAAATGAATTCTGTCCGTATTCCATAGTCGTGGATTTCAAGCTGTACGATAGACATGGCCAATGAGACATCTTTTTTTTTTTTTTTTGGGGGGGGGGGGGGGGGGAGGTGCCTAGTTGACCACGTATCTTAGTGCAGTTATATTCAAGGCGAGGCGCAGACGCCGTCTGGAGGTGACAGGTTCAATTCCCGGCACGGTAACTATACCTTTCGATTTTTACGTTGTCTAGTGTGTTCTTTTATCTTTCTACTTCTTTCTATGAGTGCCGTTCACAATACTGTTACTTGATTAACTCTCATGTCCATAACGACTCATTCTTGATAATCGCACTGCCAACCATGGCGTCTGCTCTCTCGTTGCCTTTCACACCAACATAATCTGGGACAAAAATGAAGGTGATTTTGCGAATCGCTGCGTGCTGTATCAGATGGAGCCACAGTTTCTATAATACGCCCTTGATCGAGTGCTCATCAAGTGGCTGAGCAAACATGCGTCGATGAATTCCTGAGTTCTCAGCCATTCTAGGAGCTTCGTCGTATCCATGACCGCCATTGTTATGCTGGTGGTGGTGGAAGCAAAGGCTTCACTGTCCTCTTTGATGGGGCGCTGACACAGAGAAAACAGAGGCAAAAAGAGGGGAAAGCAGCTTGCCCATTTCGGGGAGGGGGGGGGGGCATGTTTAACCGATTGCAATATTATATGCGTAAACAAACACTTAAAAAGAGAACATGTAAGCATGATTTGGTCAGCGGGTTAAAGGTTAGTTACTACCTTAAAACATTAGGGGAGTCAGGGTTAGCCTAAGATAAGTAAGAATTAAGGTTCCTGCTTGTGCTTATACTTATAAACTACCAAGTTTCCCGCAAACATTTCCCTTTAGTATATCCAGGCATTGTCACTTTCTCGTTCCCCATTTCCGTTTCCTCACATCCGGTGCCCTATCCAGCAGCCGGTGAGATGAGAATATCGATAGACAACATCACCCAGCTGTGTGGCCGCAACTTCCAGGTGTCGCTTCAGGTTTCAGTGGTTCATTTCCTGCCCTGTCGGTGGCTTCTATGTCTTCCTTAGGACCCATGTCGTATCCGTGGGTACATTTGTTGGGCGATGGTCTTGTAGTCTTTCTGTCTTGTTGATTACAGACATACTTGCTGTGTCCTTGTGTCTGGAGATTTGTAGTTGTTTCAGTATCTGCACAAATAGGATTGTTGCTGTTTGTTGTCCGGACATATGTGTTATTTCTGGGCTAGGTATAGGCGTGATTTTTTCCTCTGTTTATTTGACTGTTTGTGGTTATTTCTTTGTGTCTGGTCAGTTTGGTTATTTCTGTGTGTCTGTACTGTGTGTGATTATTTGTGTGTCTGCACTCTCTGTGGTTATTTCAGTTTGTCTGAGCTGTCTGTAGTTATTTCTATGTTTCTGCTATTATGTATGTGTGTCTGGGCTGGACATATGTGATCATTTATGTGTCCTAACTGTCTTTTTTTTCTGTGTGTTTGGACTGGGCATATGTGGTTATTTCTGTCTGCCTCAGCTGGGCATATATATAGGTAGGTATTTGTTTGTTTGGACTAGGCATATGCGGTTAGTTGTGTGTCGGGACTGGGCATATGCGGTTAGTTGTGTGTCGGGACTAGGCATATGCGGTTAGTTGTGTGTCGGGACTAGGCATATGCGGTTAGTTGTGTGTCGGGACTAGGCATATGCGGTTAGTTGTGTGTCAGGACTGGGCATATGCAGGTATTTATGTGTTTGGACTGGGCATATGTAGTTATTTCTCAATGTCTGGGCTGGATTTCATAGCACTGTAGAGGACTCTATACTCAGCTTTCATTACAATCTATATAAAACACACATCGGTTCTCATAACATCTCTGCATAATACACAGCTCGGATTTTATTGCAGCCTATGATACTTGGGAGCCACCGCGGTGCAGCAGCGAGACACTCGCTTGTGCATCCGAAGGTAATGGGTTCAGGTCCTGAGAACTTTTTCAAAAGACCTTGGTTCCCAGGTCGACCCCAGCTTAAATATAGGTATTAGATAAATTCATGGGAGGTAAAGGCGGCTGGCGTGATATTGATCACATAAAATGTAATCTAACCCTTGATGACCGGGACTCAATACGGCGTGGACAAGTGTCCTTCACCTCGGTTCTTTTATGTTATTTCACCCCACCACGCGGGCTTCGAGATATGGTAGGGAAATAGCCAGACCGATCCATGGTTGGAAAGGGGTTGGGGGGGGGGGGGGAGGTTAGGCTTAGTAGTAGTCTATTCATTCAGCACTAACCCAAATCCTACCCCCCTTCCTATACTATAGAACTGTCTAGGGATTTCCCTACCAAATCTTGAATTCGACATAATGTAGTAAATTAACAGAAAAGGGCGACCTCCCCGTATGGGTTCCGGGGCCTCATTGTGGAAAAAACAAACAAGAATAGACCTACTGTCTCTTCAACAAGCATGTCGTAGGAGTAGACTAATTGGGGACTTCCTTCGAAGTCGAAGTGCATCTGCCTGAGCGGCAAGGAACAACGAACTGCACACAAATAAGACAGTAAAACGGATGCACACAAAACTTAGGCCCTGGCACAAAGTCAAAGACCAGATGGACGAACAACCTGGACTTTTCGCAGGAGCTTACAGCCGGTGAACAAGAAAGAAGAGAAAGATGCAGAAAAGAAACCTTTACTTTGATCACATGACACTCAGCTAAAGTGTCACCACATCCGACTTTATCTTGAGCCCGGCCGTGAATTTCACCAGTAAGTTCAGATTCTAAGCCAGGGCTGCTGAAATTTTTTGGGAAATGGTACCTCCTCCCCCAACTCCACAAAGTACCAAACACTTTTTTGTTCAAAAAGTACTAAACACAGTAAAAGCTACCATAGTTTTTAAAATCTGTAATAAAAAAAAAAAACCCGTTAAAACGTCATTAACACGCATACAGTAACGCACACACACACACACACACACACACACACACACACACACACACACACACACACACGCCCGCAAACACACATATGTAACTAGCTTCCTTTTTTAAATTTTTTTGATTATAATTGAAATATTTTGCCTTTACATCATTGCTGTAACATTTATTAATCTCTCAGTTTGTTACACAGCTGCTGTGGCGGCTTCCAGTTGGTGCAATTAAAATGTCCTGGAGCAGTATCTTTGATCTCATCACCGCAAAAATAATAAAAACCTTCCAAAAAAAAAAAAAAGCAATTTTTTTTAAAATCTTAATATTTTCTTAGCAGAGTGAAAAACTGCAAGGTACCGAAACACCGGGCGTGGTACCAAAAGTACAGTTTCGCTCGGTAAGTGTCAAATAGTACCAAATTTGTACGAAAGTATAAACTTCGGCAGCCCTGTTATAGACTCAGTTACCCGAACCCACCTTATATCTCCTTACACACATATGAACACTCGCCTCTATATCGTTGTGTCTGTCCGCAGATTGTACGAGCTGTCGTCAAGGCGACCGGTGGCCTTCTCTCCCAGCGCCGAGATGGGCCTCACAGATATCGAGATGGCCCACAACTGTGACGTCGACGATCCCTACTTTGATGACAGACAATACGAGATGGTTTACGAGGTGAGTTTGCCGTCTTTTTTTACATCAGTGGTCGCCAACTTTTTTTTTCTTTCTTCATTTGGCGCCCCCTCAAGAATATGGCAAGACCAGTCACGACCCACTCCATCCCCAACCCTCTTTCTACCCCCTGTATAAGCATACCTCTTTGTCTGTCTGTCAGTTTAAGAGCCTGTCTGTTCCTAAGAATTTATTGTCTTGATATTTGAAATAATAGTTATCTGGATTGTCCCCCTGCCTTTTCTGCAGTTATGTCTCTTTATGTCTGCCAACGTATCTATTTTTCTGTCAGCTTTCTCCTTCAGGTATAATACCATGCTTTAATTGTGGAAGACTTTTCTTAACGCGGGCGGGTCTTGCTAAGTCACACTCGCCATCGCCATGGGCTGTGAGTCCCATGCCTCCTCATAGAAGAAGATAACACTCGTCTAGAAAGACAGAAAGTTGCCAACAAATTTCAGAATATCTACCCGTCTCTCTGTCTACCTGTCTATCTATCTACATGTCTCTCTATCTACCTGTCTCTCTATCTACCTGTCTCTCTATCTACCTGTCTCTCTATCTACCTGTCTCTCTATCTACCTGTCTCTCTATCTACATGTCTCTCTATCTACCTGACACTCTATCTACCTGTATATCTACCTGACTCTCTATCTACCTGTCTCTCTATCTACCTGACTATCTACCTGACTCTCTATCTACCTGTCTCTCTATCTACCTGACTCTCTATCTACCTGACTATCTACCTGTCTCTCTATCTACCTGTCTCTCTATCTACCTGACTCTCTATCTACCTGTATATCTACCTGACTCTCTATCTACCTGTCTCTCTATCTACCTGACTATCTACCTGTCTCTCTATCTACCTGACTCTCTATCTACCTATCTGTTTGAACGTCTTTCTTTCCACCAGTCTTGTCTTCACACATATTTATCCCTGCCTGTCTGTCTGGCATTCTCTCTGTATATAGCTAGCGCCCGCCTATCTGTCTGACATTCTCTCTGTATCTCGCTAGCACCCGCTTGTCTGTCTGACATTCTCTCTGTATCTCGCTAGCGCCCGCTTGTGTGTCTGACATTCTCTCTGTATCTCGCTAGCGTCCGCTTGTCTGACATTCTCTCTGTATCTCGCTAGCGTGCGCTTGTCTGTCTGACATTGTATCTCGCTAGCGCCCGCTTGTCTTGTCTGGCATTCTCTCTGTCTCTCGCTAGCGTCCGCTTGTCTTGTCTGTTATTCTCTCTGTCTCTCTCCAGCGCCCGCTTGTGTGTCTGACGTTCTCTCTGTATCTCGCTAGCGCCCGCTTGTCTTGTCTGACATTCTCTCTGTATCTCGCTAGCGCCCGCTTGTGTGTCTGGCATTCTCTCTGTCTCTCGCTAGCGCCCGCTTGTGTGTCTGGCATTCTCTCTGTATCTCGCTAGCGCCCGCTTGTGTGTCTGGCAATCTCTCTGTATCTCGCTAGCGTCCGCTTGTCTTGTCTGGCATTCTCTCTGTATCTCGCTAGCGCCCGCTTGTGTGTCTGGCATTCTCTCTGTATCTCGCTAGCGTCCGCTTGTCTTGTCTGACATTCTCTCTGTCTCTCGCTAGCGCCCGCTTGTCTTGTCTGACATTCTCTCTGTATCTCGCTAGCGTCCGCTTGTCTTGTCTGGCATTCTCTCTGTCTCTCGCTAGCGTCCGCTTGTCTGTCTGACATTCTCTCTGTATCTCGCTAGCGCCCGCTTGTGTGTCTGGCATTCTCTCTGTCTCTCGCTAGCGTCCGCTTGTCTGTCTGACATTCTCTCTGTATCTCGCTAGCGCCTGCTTGTGTGCCTTGCATTCTCTCTGTATCTCGCTAGCGCCCGCTTGTGTGTCTGGCATTCTCTGTGTATCTCGCTAGCGTCCGCTTGTCTTGTCTGGCATTCTCTCTGTCTCTCGCTAGCGCCCGCTTGTCTGTCTAACATTCTCTCTGTATCTCGCTAGCGCCCGCTTGTCTGTCTGGCATTCTCTCTGTATCTCGCTAGCGCCCGCTTGTCTGTCTGGCATTCTCTCTGTCTCTCGCTAGCGCCCGCTTGTCTGTCTGGCATTCTCTCTGTCTCTCGCTAGCACCCGCTTGTCTGTCTGGCCGCTGCTTGATTATCGAACACCCCGGTCAGAAGATCTCAGTTTTCTGATCCACTTACAACGAGCAGCCCAGAGCCACTAATCTCGTCAGAATGACCTCCTGAGCAAATTGTCTGGGCGTAATGACCTTCACTCTGACACCTTCTATTGGTGACTGTAGTCTGGCGTTCCCTCACAAACAAGATCACATTATTTGTTGCTGGTTGCCGCTTTCTGTGGATCTCAGTCTGTAGGGACTCAGAGGTTCCCCGGGAGTAGCTGCAGGTTTGGTTTCATCTTAGTCTGCAACAGGATGAAGTAAAGGTAACGACATTGTTGTGTAGAATTCTGGGTATTTTGCGTGAAAATGTATAACAGTTTAAGAAAATCTTACGGTAATGTAATCATCAGAGGTGTTACCCTTCTAGATGAATTCTCCAGGCAGTCTATCTGTTTGATTTTTAGCCCACCTCTTCTACAATCTTGGCTCCCAGGTCGACCCAGTCTTGAGTGAGTACCGAGTGCAGTCCCGGAAATTAGAAGCGGCGGCGAGACGCTGACCACATCACCCATCTTGTGCCGATTGGTCTATAAAATATAGGTCTAGCCCTATATGCCCTATACACCTAAAGGCGTGGAGAAGTGTCCTTTACTTGCTTTACTCTTCAACGATATCAAGATGTGTGCAAGCGGGACATTAATCTTCTTCTTCTTCGCGTTCACCAGCTGTAAACTCTGGTGTAAAGTTCTGGTTGTTCGTCCACTTCTGGACTGCAGTCCTGTTCCAGAACCTGAGTGTTGCGTGTGCATCAGTTTTACAGATCTGATTCAATTGAATGCAGACTGCTGGTTCCTTGCCTCTCAGGCAGATGCACACCAACTTCAAAGGAAGCTCCCCAGTTAGTCGACTCTTACGACATGCTTATTGGGAGGCAGTGGGTCTATTCTTGTTTTCCCCACAATAGGGCCCCGGAACCCACACGGGGAGGGCCATTAATGATACAGGTTTTGGGGTAAACTCTTTGGAATAACATGACATGGACCGTGTTGTTTGGAGGGGGCACACCAGGAAGGCAATGAGAAGGAAAGAGTAAAGAATTACAGAAAGCATGAGAGCTGAGCATGTGAGAAGCAACAAGCTAGACACAGATGGTGACAACAATGGTCCTGAAATCCCGTGCTATAATTGTAGAAGACTTTCCTTAACACGGGCGGGTCTTGCTAGTCACACTCGCCATCGCCATGGTCTGCGAGTCCCATGCCTCCTCATAGCACAAAAGTCTGAAGGGCTGTTCGGCAAAGTTTAGTCAGGGGCCAACATGTTGAAAATGGGGATTGTCATCAACCAGAAGTCCAAGCTCCAGCACAGACAGATCAGTACAATACAACTGACAAGACCCGTGGGCCAGTTGCTAGGTCTCTGCGAACCACATTTGACCCGCAGGCCGCCAGTTAAATAGCTGTGGGTATATAGCGTGTGGGTAACAGCAGGGAGCTGTGTGAGTAATGTAAGGGTGTCGTGTGGGAGAAATAGGAATTGTGTGTGAGTGATACGGCGGCCATTGTCTGACAGAGATATAAAAATACTAATGCAAAAATCAAGAAACATTTTCACGGCACATGGACATCTGTGGATGTCAAAGGAGATCCGAACTAAACGCAAACAAGATCTCAGACCTGCAAAGTTAGGCGCCCCTAGGAATGCATCTGCAGGAGAGGCAAAGCACCTACCGTTTGCACACAGATAAGCCACATCTGTAAAATGAATGTGCACACACAAACTCGGGTTCTGGAACAGGATCAGAGTCCAGAAGTGAATGAACAACCAGAATTTTCCGCTGGAGTTTACAGCCAGTCAACGGTAAAAACAAACAAAAAGTAGAAGATAAATCTGTCGCACATACTTAACATTGTTATGATTCATTGCAGAACAATTACGCATGCATTCCAAAATTATTTCCAACACAAACCTTCACCTCAACATAATCCTTCACCCCAACATAATCCTTCACCTCAACACAATCTTTCACCCCAACTCAATCCACCATTCCAGTACAATCCTTCGCCTCATCACCTTCTACTCGCAGACACAATCTCCCCCCTCCCCTCCTTGTTCCCATCACATTCCTGACCAGCATGCATGTTATCATTACGAATGCCCGGTTCTCTAGCGTAGCTGGCTAAACTGGATTGCGCGGTGACCGGGTGGCGAACTCGTTGTGGTCCGGGTTCACTCCCGGGGGTAGGCAGAAAAGCCACATTTCTCCCCGATTTACGGTATTTAAAATGGAATCAAGGCCGAAAGGTTGCTATATCCATAATACCGAGTTTAAGGGTTAACAACTCATGGCTTCTGGATACTAAAACAAACAAATAAACAAACAAACATCATTACGAATTTACCTAGACTCCTAAACCCTAGTGCAGTCCTTCATCCGAACGTAATCCTTGAAACTAAAAGTCCTTCACATCTCCCCTTTCAACACAAACACATACAAACCTCACCCCAACATTAAACCGTCTCCCCCCCCCCCCCCACACACACACACACACACACACACTATCTCCCTTTTTTCCAAATCGTTCAACCTCGACACATTCATTCACCCACACATAATTCTACATCCCAACACAATCCTTCATCCCAACACAATCCTTCACGCAAACACAATCCTGACCAGCGTGCATTTCAGAATTATGAATTTGCTTAGAATCCTTCACCCCCTCACCCCTACCCCAAACACAGTCCTACCCAGCGTGCAAATTCCCTTCCGGTCTGACGATTATTTCCCATTAATCATCGGAAAGACGACGGGCTTGCAGTTTCTGCCCAGAAAAAAAAAATGTAAGAGGACTCCAGATAAGGAGAACATTTTCTAAACATAATAAGACTAGGTTACCTATATTATGAAGTGAGTGCCCGCTG